ATGAAATGAGCATTTTGAGTATAGTTGGTTGTGGTGAAACTGATTAGAGTTGAGAACCCTAGTATTGGTTATGGGCCCCAATTCAGGTCATGACATTTTTAAAAAGGGTTTTTATGCTTTCCAATATGCAGAGTACTTTTGAGGTGTTCAGGATGGAAAAAAATTACAATTTGTGTTTTAGCTAACTTATACAAAACTTCTCATGATATAAAAAATTAATTAAAATAATTTTGTTTTATTATTCCCTACACGAAAATGCCCATCTATTAAAATCTATTTCCTATGAAGTTTACTTTTGGATAAAAACCTAAAATTAATGCCCCTTGTATTTTAGTTAACTTGAACAAAACTTCTTCCTAATGTAAAAATTAAAACAAAATATATCGTGTTTTAGTATTCATCTACTTGTTTTAAGTATGAACAGTTATGAATTTTGTTTTTCTATAATTTATAAAAGTCTCAAATAATTCTTTGATAAAAAATTCCATCCTTCGATATATAATTTATTTTACCTGCAATAAATTTAATCCTCTAGTATCAAAAGTTAAAATGTCTCTATTTTATTATTTTTATTTTTTCCTCCTTCTTTAAGATAAGTGTATTTTATCTTTTTAAAAACTATTCAACAATATCTTTTCATAATATGATTGTTATTTTATCAAAATAATCAAAACCTAACTAAGAATTCTATAATTCTTTTTAAAAATAATAAAGATAAAATAAAATCAAACAAAATTGAATGTGCTTCATTTATTTTGTCCCCAAAAATTTTCCTTATTTTTATATATTAATCACTATTATTTATATTCTTTAATTAAGTTCTTATTCTAGTTATTACAATTTAACATTGTTGTAGTAGAAAAAAATATGACATGTTTGGAGAATATTAAAATACAAGGGAATTTGGTCCAATTATACGCAAAAATTGAACCAAACTCTCCTTAGAAATTGGGTTCAATTATTTATAAACAAAACCTTCTTAGACAAAAAGTGAAAAAACAAAGGAAATTATTTGTTATATTTAAGGAAAAACAAGTTTTGAAAGCTATTTCGTTGTATTATTACTGAGAGAAAAGAACAATTTTATTAAATTATTTTATTTAAATTTACACTCTTTTATATATAACGTTAATTTTGAATAGTAATAATACATTAAATTATTCAATTTTTTTATTTTCTCATCAAATATTGTGAATAAATTTTATTAATATAGCTGATCCAAGGTGCAATCCCGCTTGGGAATTATTTATACAGGGGGTGGAAAAATAGATACAGATCAATTGGTGCTCTTTTATTTCTTCTTTTTTCTTTTTTCTTTTTTCTTTTTTTTTGAGTTGAGACCAGGTTTCAATGGTGTACTTTTATATTAAAATTTTAACATTTGGATTAAAACTAAAAAATCATAAAATAACTTTTTAAAAATTAAAAAATAAAATTTGATTATCAAAAGTTAGATTATTTGATTTTTAAATTTAAAGACTAAATATAATAAATTTAATAAATGAAAATTTTTAAATAAATTATATAATATTTCAATTTCGAATCAGATCTGAAAAGTATATTATATTTTAACAATTATTTTTTTAAAAAAAAATAAAAATATAGTAAAGTGTAATTTAAGTAAATTAAGATAAAAGAGAGTTTTTTCAAAATTTATTTTTTAAAAGTATTTAAATTTATTAAATTTAAATATTAAAATAAATATTTAACTTCGTCAATAATGTCGGGATTTGTAAAATCCTTACGCGTAGAAGGGGCAGGAGAGAACGGGAAGGCGAATTTTGCTCGTTGGGGGCTCAGACGTGTGGGTTGACTTGTTGACTCCTCTTTTTATCTCTCTCAACTCAAGCTTTCTTTACGAGAAAGTGAGAAATAGAAAGCGAGGTGGGAAAGCAGTCTTCCCGGTCCACACGCGATCTCAAGCGCCTTTTTAGTTCTTTTCTAGTCCAGAACGGGTCCGGAAAGCAGGAGGGCAGGTGCTCCAAACTTTCCAACTCTAGGCACCCCACCAAACTCGGGCCCAACTATTCAAGCCTAAAAAGACCCCCAAGTGCGGTGATTCAAGTCAACTGCATATAATTAATTGAACCAAGACTGGAAATCCAAATGTGAAAACTCTGTTTTTTGAGATACGACTAGGTTGGACAGAATGGCCCTCTTTTCTGGCTTACTTTTTTTGAATAGTGGCTCTATTTTCACTACTTTTGCAAATTAAGAACTATTTTTTTATATGAAATAGGATCTTTAATATTTCTCTTAGTGGCTCAAAAAATAAATAAAAAAACTAACTTTCAAGTTGGGAACTCTCTCATGTCCAAATAATACGGCCTCCCTTCTTTCGCGGGTTACAAAAATTAGAAAAAATAAATAAAGAGTATTATGGAGATGCTATACCTTTTTTTTGGTTTTGTTAATGTGTAAATAAAATTAAAATTAATTAAATTAATTTAAAAAATTTGTTATTGTGTAAAAAATTTGGGTGGTGACAATTTTTTCGCCTTTCAATTAATTAAACTTACCGTGAATTAAAGATCTAGGAAGTCATTAAATTTATAACATATTTTGGAGCATTCTCATCCACTCTGTGGGTAATTTAATCAACTATAATTGCCTGACAGCAAATGGAGATGCATTAATATTGGATTTAGTTTCCTCTGCCCACTCCCTGGATAATAGAAATTCAAAGGGGGGAGGCAAATGCCATAAATCCAGTGGGCGACAATGTCAGAAATTTACATTACTTTCCTTTTTGGGTAAGTGTTGAACTCTAGGCAATTTCTGGATGACACAAGCAACACCTTACCCTTCAAAATTGATGTCTTTCCAATCAGTCCTTAAAGCGGGCAAAACAATATCAGTACCCAAGATATGATGCACCTTATTCTATTTTCAAACATATTCCAAATACACTTACTGATTTGTTTTATTAACCATTTTTCAAGTAACATTGTCCCTTGCACTTGCTCATCTGGTTTGGTTGACGTGGCTATCGAGGTAGTATGTACACATCAATTATTAAATGTGTTAAAATCTATACAATTAAGTGAGGACTTCATGTATTTAACAATTAATGTAAGTATGATTCCCAACATCTAACATTAATTTCATCGATTCAATTTAAAATAAATATATAATGTGCTGAAAATACTTATTAGTAAAATGACTTTTCACGTGATTTTTACGGTAAAAAGTCTTTTATGGCAAGGACTTTATAGGAGGGGTACTTGAAAAATATTTATGTGAACCAAAATTAATGCTTGAAACCCGTTTTCAAGTTAGAAAAGAAAAACTATTTTTTGTTAAATATTGTATGGTGACAATAGTTTAGAAGTGACTAAATATTTCTAATCAATATTACTTATAGCCCATTATCTATTTAGGTTTTTTTATTGTAAATAAATTCGAGAAAAATTGATTTAGATAAAATAAAATTAAAAAATAAGATCAGATAAAAAAATTATTATTTAATTATATTTTATTAGTGAAAATAAAATATAAATAACAAATATTTAATTTATCTAATTTTTTTAAAAATTAATATAATTTTGGTTATTTATTTACTTGCACATATTAAAATCAATGAATTTTGCGGGGGTAAATGTTATCACCTTCTCTTTCCCCACGGAACATGGGTGTTTACTTTTGGAGACAAATTTCAAAACAAAACGAATTCTTATAGTATAGAAAGAGAGAAATTGAGAATGATTTAACAAATAAATTTGTTAAATATTTTATTATAGTATATAAAGAGAAAAATTGAGAATGACTTAATAAATAAATTTTATTAATTAAATGGAGAATTGATTTTAATACTGTTAAATTAAATAATATAAATATATGCGTCATTTTATTTTATAATTAAATAGAGAAGAGGACGGACATAGGAATCTCGGCAGAGTCATGGGTTTGGTTTGGTGTCGTGTCCCATCCAGCCGGCCGAGGGGATCAGAAGAGCAATAGCCAATATTAAGAATTTTGCACATTTTCACAGTGTATACCAACAAACCCGAGTCAAAAAAGAACCATTACCCATCGACTATTATATCTCTCTTCTCTCCCTATAAATACCTCATCCCTGTTTCTCTACTTCAATCACCACTTGCTTCTTCTTAACAACCATCTTTGTCTCCAACACCGTATAGTTCTGCCTCCTGGATTTCGAGCTAGCCTAAACCTCCGGCCAAAACTCTGGGCACATTTCCGCAGCGGTGACGCCTTGTAAATAGCATATATTAGAGATTAAGCATGTAAGTCTCTCTCTCTCTCTCTCTCTCTCTCTCTCTCCCCCTCCCACCACACCAATATATATATATATATATATATATATGTCAACCAATACGGAATCAGTTTTTTTTTTTGAATAATCAATTTTCCTAAAAATGAATGGCTTTATCAAAATAAAATCAATGGTATTATCAAAAGAGTTTATTATCAATCACATATATAGCATGTATTAAATTCTTTTAAAAGATGAATAGTGTCATAAAAATGAAAATGAACCAGATCATCAAAAATAGTTCGTGTCATTATCAATTATAGGCAGCGTTTTGGTGACTTTGTTTGGTCGCCCCCAACTTTCTCTGTAGAAAATGCGGTCACAGTCACACTCAACAATAGGCTGTTTCTCTTTCTCTCTCTCCTTCCCTTTAGACTTCTTGGTGTTTTTCCAAAAAGTGATATTTTCTTGTCATTTTCTCAGAACTTTCTTTTCATGGTTTTTATTATTAAATTTTGAAGAAGAAAATACATTTTAATCTCCCAACAATTACTCATAACTTTACCCTCTCAGCAGTTAAAATCAGTTACGGTCAAATTTTAGAGGGTAACTTGCCAGATGGCCTACTATTCTCTAGTTTTTTTTTTTTTGGTAAAAAATGGTCACAATTATTAAGTTTTAGAACTTCAAAAGTTTACATGGAAAATAAAAGTTAGCTTCTCTTATAAGCTACCACATACTATCAGAGTTGTTATTTTATTTTACTTGTTTACTGTCCTCTAAGCAAGATTAATTCTTCTCAAGAATGTTAGGAAACAGTTAACTTTTCGCATGGAGGTTGACTCCTCCAAGCTAGCTAAAGTATCAGTTGCTATTAAATATATGATTTCATAAACAGATTTATGTTAATAATTATTCTTGTTAAGTACCATCTTTGCAGAATGTGGAGGCTGAAGGTTGCAGAAGGTGGTGGCCCCTATGAGCCTTATCTGTACAGCACAAACAACTTTGTGGGTAGGCAAATATGGGAGTTTGATCCTAATTACGGTACGCCGGAAGAACGGGCCGAGGTGGAAAAGGCTCGCCAGCTATTTACTCAGTACCGATCGAAAGTCAAGCCTAGCGGGGATGTTCTTCTGAGGCTACAGGTCTCGTCCACTTCCCTCCCTATCTCTCTCTGCCTATCTCTGTCTCTATCACTATCTCTCTCTGCCTCTAATCTTTTCTATAACTAAACTAATTAATTGGGCAATGAAAAATGTGACATATATGAAGAGTAAAATAATAAACAATGCGGTTTTATTTCATAATTGGCCAAAGACGAACAGTTAGCATGGGCAAACTTGTCCAATAGAATTGGAAAAAGTTGGTGGGAACACTATAAAGTTCTTACTGACTTTAATACTGGATGGGATTGGATGGGAGATGTTGTTAGGTATATTAAAGTGATGCAGTCAATGTCTTAAACTGCTTTCCTCCGGCCCACGTTATTTGGGTTTGGTAAAATCAATGTCGACTTCAACGTTGCAATTAATTGCTTTTAGTTAAATTGACATGTAGAGGTTGGAGGAGGACCTCTTGTGAACGTGAGATTGAGATTTTGGTTCTCAAATGTTTGCAGTTGCTAAAGAAAATAACTTTCGACAAAAAATTCCACAAGTCAAAGTTGGTGAAAATGAGGAGGTAACTTATGAGACAGCTACTGCCACAATGAAAAGGGCTGCTTATTTCTTTTCAGCCATGCAAGCAAAGGATGGGCATTGGCCTGCTGAAAATGCCGGCCCTTTATTCTTCCTTCCTCCCCTGGTTAGTGAATATTCTTGTGAGTTGAGACATTTATGACAACCTTAATTGTGACAACCATTTGCTAAAATATAAAATTATTCTTAATGAAGGTCATGTGTCTTTACATCACGGGACACTTGGATAGCACATTCTCTGTGGAACACAAGAAAGAAATTCTTCGCTACATATATAATCACCAAGTAAGTATGAACATCTTTCATTTCATGATTTTAGTTAGCACTAGTATTGGGCCCTTGCTCTAAAGAATACTAAGTAAGGTAGTATTCATGCTTTACATGGGATATATATATATATGCTAATAACTTGTTCTTGTTTTCCAAATATTGCAACTACAACTTCAAAACTTACTTTTCACGCACTCACTAGTTGTGTAAACTCCACAGAATGAAGATGGAGGTTGGGGGTTCCATATAGAGGGCCATAGCATCATGTTTTGTACCGTCCTCAGCTACATCTGCATGCGTGTTCTTGGAGAGGGCCCATTTGGGGGGCATAACAATGCTGTCGAAAGGGGCAGAAAGTGGATACACGATCATGGCGGTGTTGTTGCCATACCTTCCTGGGGAAAAACATGGCTTTCGGTAATAAAAATGACTTCTATGTATTTATTTAAATCAAAGATTAACTTGTTTCTGAGAGCATTTTCTTTTTTAACTAAAACGAACTATGTCGGTTTGTAGATATTTGGCTTATTTGATTGGTCAGGCTGTAATCCAATGCCACCAGAATTTTGGGTCCTCCCATCTTATTTGCCCATGCATCCAGGTAGGACCCAATTAATTTTAAATTTCTATCAACAACTAAAAAAATTATGCTTAAAAATTTGTAACTGGACGTAGAAACATCAATTTATGGTTCTATTAATGAAGTATTAATTACTTTTAACTTGTGTACGCAGCAAAAATGTGGTGCTACTGTCGAATGGTTTACATGCCAATGTCATACTTGTATGGGAAGAGATTTGTTGGGCCAATCACAGATCTAGTTTTAGAATTGAGGAAAGAGCTCTACTCTCAACCTTATGATACTGTCAATTGGAAGAAAGTTAGACATTTGTGTGCGAAGGTATGCTTTGGCCTTGTACTTAATCGTTGTGAGGTCACAATTTAAACATGAACTCAATTTAATATTCCACCATATTCACTAGGAATTGGAATGAAGTTAGATTCCATGTATATTGCAGGAGGATATGTATTACCCGCATCCCCTTATACAAGACTTGTTGTGGGATGGCCTTTACATAATGACAGAACCATTACTTACACGTTGGCCTTTCAATAAATTGAGAGAGAAAGCCCTCCGACAAACAATGGAGTACATCCACTATGAAGACGAAAATAGTCGTTACATTACAATTGGATGTGTGGAAAAGTGTTGTGCATGCTCGCTTGTTGGGTGGAAGATCCATCTAGTGATTATTTCAAGAGGCATCTTGCTAGGATCCCCGATTACATGTGGATTGCTGAGGATGGAATGAAGATGCAGGTAATTTTGGATCTTATGAGAGCTTCATGTTACTGTCAATAAACATAGTAAACAAAAAACAGAGAAGCTACAAAATTAATAACTGTTGAAAAAAATTGTTTTCCTATGTTACCTTGGCAGTGGGAAGCGGAGAAAGAAAAGAATTGTGAATAAATTTTCTGGACTCCATAATGTTTCTCTTTAGTATTTTGAGAAACACCTTTCTGTAGATTTCTAAGGATATTCTATGTTTTGGATTTAATGTAGAGCTTTGGCAGTCAGCAATGGGACACAGGTTTTGCAGTTCAAGCACTACTGGCTTGTAACCTACTTGACGAAACTCGGGAAACTCTTAGAAGAGGGCATGATTTTATAAAGAAATCACAGGTTTATTATCCCTTTCATTCAAATTTATCTCCTTGTTTAAATTTATTTTTTAAATAGTCAGAGAGCTCATTCATACCGCTATTTCTTTCTCCTCCTGGATATCATAGGTGAAGGAAAACCCATCTGGTGATTTTAGAAAAATGTTTAGACACATATCTAAAGGATCTTGGACTTTTTCTGATCAAGATCATGGATGGCAAGTCTCAGACTGCACAGCAGAAGGACTTAAGGTGATTCATTGTTTTCCCGTTTTTCCTTCCGAAGTGTAGAATTTGATGATATAACATTGAAGATCAGTACTCAAATGCTGCTGTCATTGATGAATTTTCCATTGTAGTGTTGCTTGATGCTATCCCGACTGCCACCAGAAATTGTTGGTGAAAAACTTGAACCAGAGCAACTATATGATGCAGTGAATGTCATTCTTTCGTTACAGGTAACATTAAATTAAAGATATTACATACTAAAATGAACTTTTTCGTGTCAATTCAATTTTCCTGTTGTGGTTAAGATATATTCATTTACATATAGTCATTCTCGCTTCTTATTTTACAGAGTAAGAATGGTGGTTTAGCTGCATGGGAGCCAGCAAAAGCAGGTGACTGGCTGGAGGTGAGATTTCTTAATTGAATCGCACGAGTGCATATATGGACGCTTCCTTTAGTTCGACTCTTTGGACATGAATAAGATGTACTTTGCACAATATTGGGTCATCAAATATCTCGCTAAATGATATCCAAATACTCAAAATTCTCTATATATTCTCCAAAATGCCTTCTTAATGACTCTGAACCTCTCAACAGAAGTTGCTCGAAATATTTATTGTTACTCCATTTTCATGTTTGCAGCTTCTTAATCCCACGGAGTTTTTCGCGGATATTGTTGTTGAGCATGAGTATGTAGAATGCACTGCAGCAGCAATTCAAGCTTTTGTATTATTCAAGAACCTTTATCCTGGACATCGCGAAAAGGAAATTGAAGCTTTCATAAAAAATGCGGCTCGTTTCCTTGAAGATATCCAAATGCCAGACGGCTCGTGGTATGTTCCAAGCTCTATTTCCTTTCTTCGAAAGACTATCTCAGAAGCATGATTAATTATTTTGTAAGGAAATCTCTTTCTAAAGAAAATCTTCAATGCCAAGGTACGGAAATTGGGGAGTTTGCTTCACGTATGGCACTTGGTTTGCATTGGGAGGGTTGGTAGCAGCAGGAAAGACTTGTAACAATTGTGCAGCTATCAGAAAGGTGTAGAATTTTTGCTTTCAATTCAACGAGAAAATGGAGGTTGGGGAGAGAGCTACCTCTCTTCTCCTTCAAAGGTTCATCTCTAAGCAAGAACCCATTGATTACATACATGTGAATACTATCTTTATAATTACTAATGTATTACAAATCGTTTTCTATGATTTTGATCAAAGCAGAAATATGTTCCACTGGAAGAAAACAGATCCAATTTGGTACACACTTCATGGGCGATGATGGGTTTAATCCATGCTGGCCAGGTAAAGTTTAAACCATTCAATCTTGTAATTATTTTGACGATGAACATAATCTTACAGGAACTTTTCTTGTTAATAGGCTGAAAGAGACCCAAAACCCCTTCATCGGGCTGCCAGGTTGCTTATTAATTCACAAATGGAAAATGGAGATTTCCCCCAAGAGGTAATCTTAACAGCTCTGAGAAAAATATAGAATATGACTTTTCCCTTTTCCATCTAAGTCAACGCTTATTTGGGTTTCCAATTGAATCAATAGAGAGATAAACTGTTCAACTTCAACCACAATTCAACCATTCTTCTTTCATTTTTTTTTTTTGGTTTCCTGGGTGTTAGACTTTGTGCTAAAATGACTTGCTCCTCCTAACATTTTCAAACTTGATCTGTAACTTATTTGCAGGAAATTACTGGAGTTTTCATGAAGAACTGTATGCTACACTACGCAGCCTATAGAAACATTTACCCACTATGGGCACTTGCAGAGTACCGCAACAGAGTCAAATTGTCGTCTTAATCATCTCTGCTGAAAAAAATGTCCAGAGTTCTATTTTGACCAGCATAAACTGTGCCAAGTGACCAGAGCTACTTTGTGCTCAGAATTGGAGGTATCTAATGGAAAAGTTCGTTAAATACTTGACACCATTGTAAATTGTAGCAGCCAGTGAAGTGTACTCCTTAAGCGGCTTAATCATGCTCCTTATGAAATATAAAAATAAAAATTGTAATTTCAGAAATGATAGCAGCACAGTCAACAATGATAATAGAAGAAAGTAAATAAGACTTGAATGTGAAAAATATTTACCCTGTTCCGAATGAATGTTGTACTTCACATCAGTTACAGCTTTCACTATTAGAAAAAGGATAATCTCTTACGAAAATTTTTCTGACAGGTGTGATTCTATTGGAACTCTGACAGACTTTGGAAAATCCCATTCCTTTATATTTTTTTTTTAATTTCTGTCGGTTAATTCATTGAAAAACTTGGTTTCCAAGTAAAATTTCTAACGGACTTTGTCAATTCTAGACAAGAAGAATAATTTTTCTAAAATAGATGCCCATCGAAAACAGAGAAAAATAAAATTTTCAAAAATAAATAAAAATTTTAACAGATATTGTCAAAAATTTTTAAAATTATGACTTTTAAAAAATGAAAAGTACAATTCTTTATTTTAAAAAACAGCTTTTTGAACGGAGAGTCTCCGTCAAAAATTCCTCGTTTGTTGAAAATTGAGGTAGTTGTTTTGAAATATTATATCAAGGTGACGCATGTTCACGCACATCCACTCCCCCCCCCCCCCCCCCCCCCACAAAACAACCAAAAAAAAAAAATTCGACCCACTACCTCACAGTTATGTATTGAAGTACAATCAATCTTATTAGAATGACGAAACCCCGCACCCACTTCCCTCTCTCCCTCCTTTTTTTTTTTTTTTTTTTTTTTTAATTTCATGTCTCCCTCAAACTCAAAATAACAAGCCTCCCAAAACCTGTTCTCTCTTTTTCTGCAATATAAGATAAATGAGCCTCCAGATTTAGAATTTGAGCCTTCCATTTCACTTACCACATGCAGTTGGCCAAATTTGCTACCAACGAACATCGTTTTAAAGTGGGAATCAGTTGTTTCGCCAAGTCTGCCATGGAATCAGTTGCATCGTTGCAGAGAGTTTGATCAAATCTCTTTCTAGAACTTAGATTACAATCCTGCTCAAGGGGTATCGATATTTTCTGTTTTTCCAATTTGCAAATACGTATGGTATATTATTCTGTCTCTTTTTGTAATCCACTCAAACCTTTTTTTCTTTTCTCTCTCTTTAGATTTGGAGGATTTGAGGACGACATAGTGAGCTTCCCGACTCCGATGCTTGCGTAGATTGATGAACCCCTCGCCCATCTTCTTTGACACTCCACTACAAAACCCCATTCCCTGTTCACACCCAAATCCAAATCCAAATCCAAACCCAAACCTGAATATAACCACGATCTGCAACAAGAAAAAAATCAGTAGATCTAGAAATTAATAATATATAAAATATAAAAACAAATTATTGATTTCCGGCAGGCAGGTTCTGGGGTAATTTCTTTTATTTATTTAATAAATTTTCTAACAGACGATTCGGTTGGAATTTTTGATGGAAATTTATATTAAATAGTCCATCAAAAATTAATTAAAAAATTTGACAAAAAAATTTATGATCCGAAGGAAAATTTTTTTCAGACAGACATGTTTTTAATTTTTGACCCTTTTTGTCTATCGGAATTTTTTTTCGAATAATTTTTTCTATCATAAATGATTTTCAACTAAGTCTATCATAAAATTGCTTTTTCAATGGAAATTACCCCATTTCTAACGGATTCTATCCATCAGAAAGGAGCCCTTTTTTTTAGTGTTTTATATAGGTTACAAATGAGGTAAATAGAGATAAGAATAGAAATAAAGAAAAGAGAATAATCTAAATTATTCACATAAATAGAGGCGGTAGATGGATAAACACAAATCTAGATATATATGCTTACACTCACGCCAAAGGCTCCTTCTCAAATTGGTTCATACATGTCTCAAATATTCAATTTGTCAAGTGAGTTGTAGAAGTTCTTCTTTGTTTCTTTTTTTTTTTTTCTCCCCCTAAAAAGAGCCTTTGTGAGTATTTCTACCAACCAGTCCTCAGATTTTACAAATGAAAATCAAGTTATTTTGTCTTCCGAGCTCTCTGTAACAACCTGAAATTTGCCTTTTTAATTTGTTCAAGGACTAATCTATAGAAATTAGATTGTCTGGGGGCTAAAGTGAAAATGTTTCGGGGATCGTTTTTTGAGTGACTTGGGGTCCAGGGACCTAATCTGCAATTTGCAGAAATTTGTTAGAAACAGTGCCGAGCACTATTCCCAGTCAATCCAGCCACGTCGTGCCATGATTCGATCAGCTTTTGGCACGTTATTGCATGTATTTGAAGGGTAAATGGAACCCCTCATTCAATCGGAAGTTTTGAGCAAGGAGGGGAGAGATTTCAGAGTTTTTGGTTGGCAAAGGGCTGAATGGCTTGCGCGAGCTTTTGGCTTTTTCCGGCAGCTTTTCTACCGATTGAACGGCTGGTGAGGCTCATCGGAGGGTGCTCTGCAAGCTTCTACTCCGATTGATTGAGGTGAGGCTTTGTTTTTGGTTTGTTTTTCTTGTTTTTCCGGTTGGCCGAAAGTTGCAGACACCCGGGTTGAACACCCGGGTGCCAGGTGAAAGGGACGGACCCGGAGGGGGTTCTGGGTCCCCCGTGCTAGGCTGGTCCAGGGCGTTTGGCCTTGGTCTCGAGCCGCGGCTCGAGCTGAGCCGAGCTGCTGGGCTGGTGGCTTGAGCCGAGCCACGAGCTGGCTGGCCACAAAAAAAGGAGTGTTTGACCGAACTGACCAGTGGCTTTGACCGGCCAGTTCAGTGGCCAATTTGACATGGAATTTGGATTTTTGACCGTTCTGGATTCAGGAAGATAAAACCTATCAAACCAAGTGGGTTCAGGAATTTTTGGGTGGCCGGTTCGAGGTGAATCGGCTGGTTTAGTGTGTTATCCTTTGAGTGACCGGTTCATTAGTTTTGAGGGAGGTTCTTGGAGAATTTGGACCGGTTCCTCCTGTCCAACATGATGAAACCTAGCTAACCATGAAGTTTGGTGATTTTTGGGTGATCGGTTTAAGATGAACCGACCTCGATTTGCGTACTAATGCTTAGGGTTAGGGTTTTTGGCCCAGTTCAAGGCTTCTTGGCAGGGTTAGACCGGTTCCTAGGGTTTTTGGGCCTTCTGAATCCAATTTTGAGGGTTTCGTGGCCATTTGAGTTGAGTTGGAGGTAGTTTTAGGCCGGTTAGGCTGGTTTGAGGGTTTTAGAGATCGGTTCACTATAATTGAAGACTTTTGGAAGTTGGTCTAGTAGTGTTGTGGGTTGGTGAGCCAGATGGTTGAATGTTAGTGAGTCGCGTAGGTTTCGGTGACAGGTCAATGTTGCCTTGAGATGCGTGCCAGAGGGCTAGTTTGGGATTTGAGTCCGGTTTGAGGCTACTGAGCCTGTTTCCTGTGCCGGTTTTGGCGATGATGATGGTTTTGTGTGATTTTGGTTACAGATACACTGGTGGAGGCGCGCCCTGGTCAGCAAGTCGAGTAAAGGAGATTAGGGGTTCTTTTTTGTTCAGTCTTTGTACTGTGAGTGATGATACCCTCTCTATGCTTGTATTTTCATATTGTGATTTTCTGACATGATGACTATGTGTTTTGGAAACTGTATTTTGATTATACGTTATACTCGGGATAGGTGTTATGTGTTTTGTGAACTGTCAGTGAACTATGTTAGTATGTGATACTTGTTTTGAGATGCGAACTGTATATGCTTATGTAAACCTGTTTTTGACTACATGTGAGAATGGTATCATGTGATGTGAGGCGACAAGAGCCACGGGCGGCAAAGGCCGTGATGCGATGTGTGATGTGAGGCGGCAGAGGCCGCGGATGTGATATGCACTAGTGCGATTCCTCTGATCATCGAGATGGTGGGTTCTTCTGATCATGAGAAGATGAGACAGGGGTCTCGTGATGTGATGTGTACGGGATGGCAGGCTCAGCCTAAGGACGGTGGACCATAGCATACGGGGAGTACCTTGACCCGGCGATGAAATGAGTTGTGTGGCTAGGGGCTCATTTGGCGGACGGTGTGCTACCGTAGCATGCGGGGGGAGTATACTAGCCCAGTGATGTGATGTGTACGAGATGGCAGGCTCAGCCGACGGACGGTGGACCGTAGCGTACGGGGAGTACCTTGGCCCAGTGATGAATAAGTTGTGTGGCTAGGGGCTCATCCGATGGACGGTTGTCATGACCCAAACTTAGCAAATTGTTTTAGTTCAGGACTAAGTTATAGAAACTAAAACGTCTGGGGGCTGGAGTGAAAATGCTCGAGGACTGATTTGCGTTAGCCTGAAGTCCAGGGACTAATCTACAAAATTTCCAGAAGTCTGACAGGAACTGCGTTCGAATGATTCCTCCGCCGGATTAGCAGGTTTTGGGCAATGATGTTTGCGTGTTTTTGCTTCTGGGTGTTGGTATTTGAAGCTTTGGTTGAATCCCTCACTCAATTGTTGAAGACGAGCGAAGAGGAGAGGGGATTCTTCGAGCTTTTGCCGACGGAGAACACGGAGGGAGGCCGAGCTTTTTCGGGCTTTCTGGGCAGCTTTTCGGGCGTTGAAGGTTGCTGGTTGGCTGGTCGGGGCTCGTGCGGCTTTCAGGGCAGTCGGCGGACTAAGGTAAGCTATCTTCCTGGCTGGTTTCCTGGTTTTTTTCCGGGGTCGGGGGTGTTACAGGCACCCGGGTCAGAGACCCGGGTTGCCGGGTGAGAGAGACGGACCCGGAAGGGTCCGGTCCGTGTGTTGGGCCAACCCAGGCCGTTCGGCCTGGGCTCAGCCCAGTGGGCTGGGCGGCCCGCAGGCTTGAACCGCGGGCCAAGCAAAAAAAAAAAAAAAAAAAAGAAAAGTTGGCCGGCCC